GCACTATCACCTCTGTCTGCACTACTACCTCTGTCTGCACTATCACCACCACTTACACTATCACCTCCATTGCCATTGTTGTTTATAGCTTTATTTTCATATAGATATATATATCTATATATCTACTTTTTTGGATACATGTTTATACTTATATTGTACATATTGTTAAATGTTTATACCTACATCTGTTTTGTTTTCATGTTTATTGTAAATTTGTGTTTGTACATCGAGAGCGAAGTGGAAACCGGAGTCAAAATATCAATAAAGCGGATTCTGATTCTAAATGTGGCTTAAACAGCGAGATATAAGATGTCTACCAGAGGACAGGTGTGTCTGACAGCTAAAATGTTAACAGACAGGAACATGCTAACAGACAGGAACATGCAGAGTTCAGATGAGTTCAGGCCTGGAGTCATGAAACAGGAAGTGAAGCTGTTTGTGAGTCTCTGGAGGAGGAGTGTAACCACAGAGAGACTGTTGAGGAGCAGCAGGGCGTTGTCCTGACTGGAGGAGCTGATAAACAGGAGGGGGAGGGGGGGGGGGGGATGAAAGAGAAGACACGACACGAGGGAGGTGGTTCACAGGAAGAAATATCCTCCCCCTCTTCCTCCTCTGCAGCAGAAATTAGATTTCATGACTTGGTTGTTTTGTCCTCAGACTTTAGGTTCAGATGAGTCATTCTGAACCTCGTTGATAAAATGTTGTATAATATTTAATATTATATAACTAATATAATAATAATACTTCTGTTTGTTTCTCTTCCAGCTGGTTAAAACCAACAGGAGGAAGGTTTCTGTGCAGTCATGCAGAAGGTAATCAATAATCAATAACCAGTGAAAGACTATCAATATTACTGCATCATTTACTGCTAACTTTTACGTTTAGTAACTTTGTTATTACATTTTTTCAAAACATTTTTAAGAACGAAACATTTTATTATTTTTTAGTTCCGTCCTTCTGAATGAGAGGAACCGAAACTTTATTGACAAACACAATATCTCTGAATACAGCGAACTGAATGTTAGTACGGAGGCCGAACGATGAAATTATGACATGAAATATTAAATAAATAAATTACGCAATAAATAAATCCATAAAAAGAAAAAGAAAGACGTAGAAATTAAAACCTTAATTATCAAATAAATGTCAAATAATGAATAAAATGTATTTACTTATTAAAAATCGAAATCAAAATGATTTCTAGTATTTTTAATAACCTTCCTGCTCAGAATGAGAGTCAACATAATTTCTATATTCAGCTTTTAAAATACACACATGAAATAGAAAAATATAAATGATTTCCACTATTTTTAATGACAAACACAACATCACTGTATATACAGCAAGCTACTCTTTATAGCATGCTAGCTTAGTAGCATTGAGTTGAATCCAGCTCAATGCTAATGTTAGTTAAAACATTATTACTCTATTATTCTCTATTATTAATGTTACCTGTTCACCTTTGTTTTCTAATAACTTTGTTTGCACATATTTTATATATATTTTATGATTTAAAGCTCAATGTTAATATCTCAAATAGAAAGACGGATAAAACCATAAAAACAACATCCAGGTTGTAGAAAACAGGAAAGACTTCACCTCCTGAATGTGTGTGATGGTCTCAGGTGGAGGGACGGGGGACTCCGGTCAACCTGCCGTCATCCAGGGGCCCGAGCACCCCGGGGACTCCTGCTACTGGCATCATGGTAACACGTGCTCCAACACACCTGAAACACACTGGAAACACACCTGAAACAAACCTGACTCACACCTCAAACACACCTGAAGCAAACACCTCAAACACACTTGAAACAAACCGGAAACACACCTGAAACAAACCGGAAACACACCTGAAACAAACCTGAAACACACCTCAAACAACCACCTGAAACACAACGAAAACAAACACCTGAAACACACCTCAAAACAAACACCTGAAACACAACTAAAACAAACACCTGAAACACAAC